TATGTGTGTGTTCCATTCACTGTGCTTCACTCATGTCTTTCCCCAGGCACATGAATGTGTGAGGATGAGAGGGAGTTTTACTCACCCATCTGTGAATTGGTGTAAAGCATGTTTTGATCAGATTTTGAAGCTAAATGCAGGTGACATTGGCCTCGGGCAGCCCTCCACCCTGTGTTATATTCCATTAGTCTGGCCTGCCTGCTGTTTAGGTCATTTAGGGCTAACTGGAATCTTCAAACACACATGCTAATGTTGTTGCATCTCCATTATGAGAGATTCGAGATGTTAATATCGAGATTATTCAAAAATAGATTATCCCATTTAGAGATAAATTGGAATATATTCTCATGGGGTTACTACTGCAAAGTATAGATAGATTAGGTGAAGTATGAAGGTGCATATACTCTAAAAAATGCTGGGTTGTTTCAACCCAACTTTGGGTCAAATATGAACTAACCCAACTTTTGGTTTAAAAATTTTATGTAAAAATTTAACCCAACGGTTGCGTTAGTCCATATTTGACCCAAAGTTGGGTTGAAACAACCCAGCATTTTTTAGTGTACAAACACTCCTTTCAAGGTTACATTTTGCTTGTGTGGATGTGGCTTACATGCGTTTGGTTATTAATTTCTAGACTTAAAAAATAATAATAATAAATTTCCATTCATTTGATTTTGGCCTGACAGTGCTAAAAGGTATCCAAAATTAAGTCAGCTTTACAACACTGATCTTTACACTGTTTAAGCTTTGTATGCCAGCACTGGAAAATATAGGCTACATTTTTTTATTTTTTTTTTATTTGTATAGGTCAAGGCTTGTGCTACAAGTTTAAACATTGAAAAAATGATGATGATAGAGAAACCATCAAGCAGTGGTAATAATTACATTCATATTCCATCAGCATTTCTCTTCTGTGAAATATGATTTTCAGTCATGCTGCATGTATATACTCTATTCTATCAATGATTTAAGCTCATTTCCAACCAAATTCCCATTACCGTAACGCCTTCAAATTGATTACACTCAAAAATACTATAATACAATGATTTATAAAAATGCCAGCATGATTTCCAAATACTTTTTTGCTTTACATAACAATAAGGGTTTTTTTTCTGTTCTTGTTTTTCAATACAATAATGAGAACATTTATGTAGGTGTAATTGGGATTAAAATAAATTCACAATATCAAATAAATATTAATGAAATACCTTTACTGTATTTTGTGTAAGCAGTGTCTATTTGCAATTTTTTTCTTATGATTTTGTAGTGAAATATTACCAGCACATATTTTTACTGGTTCTGTAAACCTAAACTGTTTATTGTACTTAGTTAGCCTTTTACAAAAATGCGTAATGTATAATACTGTTGTTTTTCTATAGATATTGAAAGATATTGTTTAATAAATCTGCTCCTATTCCATCCCCCATGTACTAAAGCAACATCATTTGCAGTCAGTGTGTGTGATATGCAAAGTCTCCCAAGAGAGCAGGAGCTGGATTTAGTCTTAATTTATCCCTTTCCATCCGACATTTTCTGTATGTCCTTGTCTTTGGCATTGATTTCAGAAATTGCATAAGATGCCCACAAAATACATTTGGAATAGACTGTGATTGAGCATAGTACAAAGCATATTAAGCACATGGAAATGATTCATTACAGCTAACTGACCTTTATTGAATATTATAATTCCTGTTTATGTGAAACTAATTTTCACAAATAAAAATCGTCATTTACTTACCATGTTGTTCAGATCCTGCTGTTTTATTTATTTTTTCTTCCTTGAAATGCAAAATGTGATCTTAGGCAGAGGTTTTGAGCTTCAGGTTCTATACGAGGAAAAACAATGCTGATTTATACTACTCTTATTACCGTTTTATTTTCTTTAAGATTACTAATGTGACATTTTTAGTACTCTGACTTTGTTTTTAACCTGAAACTATGAATGTTTTGGTTCCTTTTGTTTTGTTTTCTTATCCTTCTTAGTGGAAAATTGTTCCAGTCTCATCATAACTGAATTCTTCACCTGGCAGAACTGCCTCATCTTGCCTGCCGTATCTCTCTGAATACAGATGCGTGCTATTTTTTCAAGGCAATGACGTAGGGCACTGTTGAAAATCTTGGATAAAGCAGAACATATACAGTGAACACATTCATGTGGGCAGAGGAATGAATGCTTATCTCCTGTTTGTCAAGTGCTTTGTTAGCCCACCTGTTTCACCATGCAGCCCTCAGTTTCAGAGGACTTTCCCTCTGATTACACACCATGCTACATGTTGAGAGAGATTTCATCTTTTAGCTTGAACACTGAACATGTTCTTTTGAGTTGGAACAGAATAAATGAAACACCTCATTCATGTGAACACATTCTCTTCAGTGTTCAAGCTAAAGGAAAATGGCCACCAAAATACAACATTTCAGACTGAATCATATTTGATGGCCCCATGTCCCAAAGGCAGCTTTTTCTTTTTCTGTTTCAGTCTGTCATACAGCTGTTTCACAGTTTGTTTTCCATTCAAGTCTTGTAAAGACAGTGCTCAGTGCTCTCTGGGATTGCCCTGTTTACTTAATGCTTTCCAAGATGGTGGACAACATATGCTCTCAATTTGATCCTGCACTGTGGCATGTCAGAGGAAACATCTGGTGGGCCAATACTTCCTTGGTATAACTTTTCTATAGTCTTTACTCGCAGCATGATACCCTTTAGTTCTCATAAATATCCGATGACATGCAGTCCAGACATTTACTTTTGTAAGTTTACACTAGCAGGCAGGAATTCAACAATGAAGCAGCTACAGTATATCATCTTATTTTATTGTTACCATTATTAAAAAGTAAATCTTTCAGTGTTCATGTTCACAAAACTTCACGTAAAATTATGTATATGAGAACAGAACAGATTTGGAATTTGCCATTTGGAATTTTTTCGCTTGCTCACCAACGGATGCTCTGCAGTGAATGGGTGCCGTCAGAATGAGAGACCAAAAAGCTGATAAAAACATCGCAATAATCCACAACCCACATGACTCCAGTCCATCAGTTAATGTATTGTGAAAGCGAGTTTGTAAACAAATCCATCATTAAGACTTTTTAAACGTCAAACCATTCCTTCTGGCTATAAGTCCTCTATCCATAATAATGCTTTCTCCAGTTGAAAAGTCTGAATCAGGAGAGAAATATGCACAGATCAAGCACCATTTACAAGCAAAAAACAGTCCAAAACCGTTCTGAACAAATATGTTGGTGGATTTTGATGTGAGAAGACAACAGGGTGTATGGTCTTTTTCACTAAAGGAAGCATTATTATGAATTATGGGCTGGTGTTTTGAACAGAAGTGACAGTTTAAACAGCCTAGAAACACACAGCTTTTCACTTCCCAAGATGTTAATCGATGGACTGGAGTTGCATAGATTATTGTAATTAATTCATTACATTTTGACGGCACCCATTCACTGTGATGTAATGCTAAATTGCTCTAAATCTGTTCCGATAAAGAAACAAACCCATCTATGTCTTGGGTGGCCTGAGTTTGAGCAAATTTTCATTTTCCAGTAACTTGACTAAAATCCTTTAATATAAATCTATACAGTTTTTATTTTTATTTTTTATAGGCAGACAGATATTTTATTGAAATGTAACATTACAGTTGTTAGATTTTCTCTTACCCTATTTCACAGAGCAGTGTTCATCTAGACGGATTGGCTTTAGCTTTTAGAGAGGAAAGTAGTATTGTGAAGTATTGTGTCCATGTTCCTAAGCCACCTTTTTAAAAAATGCACTTGACTGAAGGCAGTTAAAGGGCATGTTTGATGCTGAACATGACTTTGTGAGAGGATGTCATTAGATTGGCCTTGGAATTTAAGTAAACTGACTTCAATCCCCTTCAATGTGAATAGTGGAACCTTTGATGTGCTTTTATGTTTTGACCAATGTCTCATCCCCACCCCAGTGCTTTTAATGAAACACACATTAACATGCAAACAGGACACTTGAAATAATCATCTATAATTACAGAATAATACGATACACATGATTGCAACACTCCCCACATTTTATGAAATAAATGTTACACGGATACACCTCAAGAGAACAAAAGACAAATTACATTCATACAGAAAAGAACATCTGAAGTGGTTGAATTTAGGTGTAGCATATGCACAATTCAACTATTCTGATAACAAGTTTGAAAGCAAAATGTACTTTCACACAAAGTACAACCTTAAATACCAGGTCAAAAAACAAGCAGCTAATGTGTGTATGAAACATATGAAACCGTCCTTCAGTGAGTGTTTTGTTTTCACTAAAACACACAAATGATCACAAACAACACAACAAAAAACCTTAGGAAGCATTATGAGCAACAGTAATTGGCACACATTCATGAAAAATAAATGACATTCAAGGAAAAGAATATTGCATTGAGTCTGATGATGAAAACCTGATGAAATGATACAGTGTATGTATGATTGGCATTTGTTTACATGCTGTGAAGTGCCGTGATTTGCTATATTAATACTGATTTGTTCTGAACCCAGAATGAGTTACGTTCCTGTTTAGGGTGGAAAAAAATGCACACACATCATGTCTGCAGTACAAAGCGATATTATGCACACCCCTATAAAATATTCAAATGTGATTACAGCTAAGAATATAATATTTACATCATTAATACAAGCACATTCCCACATGTGTAGCATTGCCAACAATTCTTTTTGCACGGTTAATATATGCATATGGACAAAAGCAGGAATTAATTGAATAGTTAGCCCAAAAATATGCTAGTTGTTTTTTCACATATGTATTTGTAAGCCACATAAATTGGCTTCCTGAATAAAACCGATCCAAAACAATAATTTAACTCACAGTTAATAATGACTTGCATTTCAATCTATTTGTCATGTAAAGTGAACAGGTTGAAATTTAAATATTGTATGACTTTTGAAAACTTAGAATATAGTGCATGAGTCAGATATGGGTTACATTTATGATTTTTATTTATTTATTTTTTGACAGATGTGGCCACATTGAGCTATTATTGAAAGAGGGGCATACAATTCATTGCAAATTCTCCTTGAGTCCACATTCAGTACTAGTTTGGACCATCATGAAGGTGAGTAAATAAAGACATTTTTCATTTTTGGGTGAACTATCCCTTTAAGCATTATGAAACCTTGTTGATTGTCAGAGAAGTCTAAAATGGAGTGAGCTTAGGTAACGCTGTGACATAAACACTGGGCACATTATTCAAATAATATGGAATGTAATTGAAATTCGATAGAGTGGGTGAAAGGAAAGGCAGGGCTTTGACACGAGAGCAATATCTCAGACACTCCAAGCATGTTAGGAAAAGCTGCAGAGTAACACTCTAGGTAGTGGGTTATTGTCATTTATTTCACAAAAGCCATGTATTAAAAGAAAAGTACATGACTAAACACTGCAAGAAATATGAAATCAAAAACACTGAAAATGTGGCATGTGTAGTATAAATTTAACTGTGAAAAACTAAGTATAAAAGTTGAGAAATATATCTTAAATAAAGTGGTGAGCTTGTTTTCGTAATGTAAGGCTTCACACTGAGTTCTTATTAAACCTAGAAATGTTACATCAATTATGGTCCAATCTCCAGTGTCATTTTTAGGGGTCCCTAAAGCACGTGTTTATGAATTATTATATCTGTGATTTGAGTCAAATAACGGATTTACTTTGAACCCTTCCAATAAATAGCATTATAGCGACCAAAATTGAGTATAATAAAAAATACAAACTCTTTAATCTTCCATTTAGTTCTTGTCCAGATGAACAAATACAACAATTGTATATATTGGCTATAATACTGTCTTCACAGGAAAATAACAGAATTACATTAAAATAGTTACTAAATGAATATTATAAAAGAAAAAGCGGCACTGGCTTTTGGGCACTTTTCAGTTTTTTATCTTTCAACATACATATAGTTTTGTTTTGTTTATTAGTAAAAATATAAATTTCTCATTAGTGTGGTCATGATTTGGATTAGATATATAATTCATTTTTTTTATTACAGGGACAAATATAAGACAAAGAAGTGCATTACAGATGAAATCTGAAAAAAGAGCTGAATATTGATTCAACTGCGCACAGCCGTCGAGCAAACTAAAATACTGCAAAGTACAAAGACAGGGCCAGTAATGCTTATATTTGTCCATTTAACATTAAATGAAGGTAGACAACTGTTTTTCGGTGTAAATTCTAGGAGAAATGCCTTTTCTCCACCCTTCAGAAAGAATGAGCAGTGAATTATGGGTAAAACGGTCCAATTCAGCCGTTGAAAAAAAATGTTTTTTTTTTTTTTTTAAGCGGCATACTGCCACGTTCAGTGGCATCAGGCAAAAGGATTCTCCGGCTTTAAGGTGCAGTTGTCAATGTCATGGCAGTTTTTGCCATTCAAGTGTTCTGTGTGGCCGTCGATGCTGTAACAGCCCTGGACCTCCGTAATGGAGGACGCCGTGTATGACGCAGACCTCAGAGCATCAGATTGTATGATGGCGCTTCCAAACTGTATGCGGTACTGATTCCAGTGCCTTCTCAAAACTGCTTGGACCTGAGGAAGATATGGACAGATGATCTACTCAGTCAACAGAAATCACTTATCACGCAGCATGTATAATTCATTATCTTCTTGGTCTGAGCCTTTAACAATTCACCTTTTCCAAAAAACAAACAAACAAAAAAAACACCTCCCTTTTGCAGAGGCTGTAATGATCATAAATCATAAGATTTATTTAATAGTAATAGTTAATTATTTAGTTAACTTTTTTTGTTTTAGCTAGGTAGGCCAAGGTAACATTTCTCATTTAGTTTAACTTGTTACTAAAATTGTCTAAAACTAAAACTGAAATAAAAATAAATAAAAACGACATAGACATTTAAAATATAATAACAAGAATAAGAATCAGAATAAGAATTACAAACACTACAAAATGAATAAAACCTTAACTAAAATGAAAATGAAAGTATATTTTAAAATCTTCATAAACATCTATAATAGTATTTCAATGATACTAAAATAACACTGGTCGTTGCTTAAATAACCATATGGTAATGCATATTTTTGCATATTTAAAAATATTAAATATAATTACTATACAATTCCTTTTTTATTTATTTTTTCTGGTACACAAACCAAGCGGTAATTTAGCCTACTTAATTCGTTTATTGATGACAAATTAAAGGTGCTGTATGTAAGTTTTTGACTCTACTAAAGCATAAAAATACCATAATACGTTTGCAGATATTTAAGAAACATGCTAAGTTAACATACTTGTTTATCTGAAAAACAATGCTAGAGTCAGTTATTCTCCTTTGAAAATGTGCGTTCCGGGCCGGAATGTTGGTCTCTGTTTTGGTTTGTGAAACCTGCCCACTGCCAGTTTACCCAATTGTATTTCGGCACCCTGGGTTGCCAGTTGGCGTATTTAATTTCATTCATCGTCAAGTGAGCTCGTTCCTGTTGGTGTCGTCATTCTGGCAACCTGCGTGTGCGTCAAGTCTGAGGAGGAGGGGCCGGGTGAAAAAAACCCTCTCCAATATTTTGAATTTGGACTGCAATACCTAGTTCAACCACTCTGTGTCAATCCTACATACAGCACCTTTAAGTTTGGCATCAGAGCTAAAATAGCACTGCAACAAAATTCAAACCATATATCAAAATATTGATTGTCACATGTACCTTCTTATATATTCGATATAGATTTTCCTTATACAGTTTGAAAGTGAATAGCAAACTCTCTTCCAGCTGACACATACAGTATATCGTCATTCTGACCAGCCATCCATTTAAGCGGCTGTATTAACTGCTGGACCGGTGATATTATTCATAATAGCTTCTGCATGCCTTATTACCACAGTGCCTCTAAAACAGCTCAACGCAAAAACTAAATTATTTGGACAGGTTCCCTCTGAGTCAGGCATTCGTATTGGTACATGTGGACATCTGCCAATGTTTTTAGGATTTAAACAGCCAGTACAAAATCTCCATATCTGAGCTTTGCTTTCAAGGAAAAGGATGTTGCACAATCCATAATTCCTTGCAGATAAACAGGAAATGTTTCATATCAGCTGGGTAAACACTTACCTCTCCGTTGAAAAAGCAGAAGATTGTGGCCACCAACAGTCCCTTAAAAATAAAATCAGAAATGCACGTCAGCAACAAATCCGCATAAACTGCTGTCTTGCACTGCTAAACTATAATCTCCTATATCGCAAGCTCTTCACTAATCGTTTCTAGGATGGTGTTGAGTACTGTTCTCCCTTGTGTTTTGACACATTTTGCCAGAGTGAGCGCTCTTGATGTGCACAGAGAGTCATCTGGGATGACAAGCTTGTTTTGTTGCATTATTCATTGTGCCGATTCAGCTAGGTCTAGCAGTACCAGCTGTCCGAGGCTTCTCACTTTGCTGTTTTCTTCACAACAGACTACAAATGGTTATTTTCTTGCTGCTGAACACCTACCCATCTCAATATAAATGTTCAGGAGTCAGACTTTTATGAGGCAAGTGACCTGATCCTAACAACAGTTGCTTCTGCAAATAAATAGTTCACCCCAAAAAACGGTTGTGCCTTTTGTTATTTTTTCAGTATAGCTCAAATGAGATGAAGAATATCTATGAATAATGACTTACACTTGAAAAGGCTTGTGTGAAAACTGTTCTTTTGTTTACCACAGGACAAAAAAAAAAAAACACAGCATTCCGTTTAGGAACAAAATGAGGGTGAGTAATTAACAGCAGGATTTCTAAAGTGACAAGCTTTCCCCTCTGGCTAATCTACAGAGCTGCAGGACATTGTTGTCATTTGTTTTACAAGATTTAAGTCACTAATGGCAAAGTAAACTTAATTATAGGCTGTTGAGCTTTTGCCAGTCAAAAAGACAAAGAGATTGGGAAATCATATCTTTTAGTAATAATAAATATAACCATGGTTAAAAGCAAACACTCCACAAGTGGAAAGTACAAGTAAACATTTGGCATCGGCAAGTATTTAAAGTTAGGAACTAAAACATAATGATGGTTTTCAATTTTGAGAATGATATTCTGACACTTTCTGATATAAGTGACATGAGACGTAAACCATCAACTAAAGAAAACATCTTGTTCTACTGATTTTTTGCTTTAGTGGAAAATATAGCTAATTTCAGATTTTTATCTAGTAAGCCTAAAGTTTCAGAACTCCAGTGGCAACACATATAGCACTTTACAAAAGTAAAGAAAATATTAGATTTTTTTTTCCCATTTTAGTTTTTTTCCCATTATGTATACTGTATACCAATTTGATTGCTGCATTATTTCTTTATCTAGTTTTGTATTTTTTTAGTTTTCTCTTTTTCAGAATAAGATTTTTCTCTTTGCTATTTAAAATTTAGTTCTCTCTGTGGTTTTAGAAAAATCTGTATTTTATTTTAAAGAAAATAATACCTTTATTGTGCAAAGATGAATAAAATTTATCAAGTGACAGCGAATACATTTACAAAATATTTCTCTGTCACATAAATGCTCTTCTGTTGAACTCTCTTTTCATCAATCCTGGAAAAAAAAGTATTACAAAAATATTAAGCAGCACAACTGTTTTGAAAATTTATAATAATAAGAAATGTTTCTTGAGCATCAAATCAGCACATATAATGAATTCTGAAAGAATATGTTACACTGAAGACTGGAGTAATGATGCTGAAAAGTCATCACAGGGGGAAAAAAATACATTTTATAATATATTTGAATAGAACGGTTATTTTCAGTTCTAATAATATTTCACAATATTACTGTTTTTATTATATATTTGTTCAAATAAATGCAGCCTTGATGAGTGTAACAGACCTTTTTCAAAAACATAAACAGTCTTACTGACCCCAAATGTATGCATGTATTGTATATTAAAAAAACTGTGATATACAATATACATTTTGCATGATTAAAATTCTATTTTAGGCATTGGCAGATGGGCCCTGAACGTGTCTGTAAGATTACATGGAGACTGAATTGACTGCTTACCTGATAATGCATTAGGATATGCATGATGTAGTCATAGATTTCAGCAGACATGCGTCCCCCAGGTTTGTATGGGAGGAGAACGTACTGGATGCCCAGCAGTGGAACCAGAATGAGGGTGGCTCGGACAGCTTTCATATACAGACTAGACTCTGCTTGATGCGTCACTTTCAGTTTGGTGATGAGAACTCGTACGATGTTCAGCAGAAAGAACAAGTTCACCTGGAAGGACAGGCAAGATGAATGGCAATCACAAAACAAAAAGATCCCAGCTGGCTGGCAGATGTCAGAAGAGAGAGATGTAGGTATCTTCAAACTGCTTTAGGATCCTAGTGTTCTTTTTGATGTACTGATACATATAAACATTGTGCTCGGCTACTCGAAAATAAATTCAGATTGGCAAATACAAACTTCTGGATGTAATTTGTGCAAAAAATACAAAAAGATTATAATTAATCTTGCACAAAAAGATGTGTTTTGGAAACAAAAAGGACAAAAACATCCAGATGTCTTACCAGCAGTGCTGCACAGATAGGGCCATGAATAATGTATAGCAGAGAAGTATTTGAGCTGATCCAACAACTGCGGATTGGGAAGGAAAGGATTAGCCAAACCTTTGATATGGATCCTTAAACAGGAGTATTATTTCGTACAATAATTGCTTTACTTCACATGGATTTAGGTAAGAATCTTAAGAAAAAGGATTTGCTTTTTTTTTTTGAGTGTTGCTTATAGGACTACAGATTACAAAAACTAATCTCACTATGATATCCTACATTAGCAATAATAATGATAAATTTAACTTAAAGCTACAGAGCAAGAATACTCACTTATCATTGTAGTAATAACTTCTGGCTACGGCATGTATTGTAGCAGGTATAAGAGGGAAACCTGTTATTTGAAACAGATAGAGATTGGAAGAAGTTAGATTTAGTATATGCAATTAATGCCGCAAATAAAAAAATAAAAAAACTCACCCCATCCAAGAAGGTAATACCACATTAAATGCTGTTTTTCAGCAAAAACTGCCACAACAATGAGTGTGTGCAAGTAAATCCCTTCACAAAGCATCCAGAAGTAGTTGCATCCAAAGATGTACAGATGGATAAACTGTGATACTTTGCAGCTGATCTGAACAGAAGCAACATGGACATTTAATAATGATTTGCACAGCAGATTGGTGACATGCTGTAATGCTTCTAAAATGATCAAAGAAAAATGAAAATACTGGCATTATTTATTCACCCTTTTGTTCCATAACTGGTTAGTCTGCATTGTATGGCAATAGATGCAAAATTATTACTCAAATATGCCCCTTTTGATTTTTTTGAGGAAAAAAAAAAAAAATTGTATGGAAGCTTTTTATTGCCACAGGATTAAAAAAATAAAGTATTTGCAACTTTATATCACAATTCTGACTTTTCCCCTCAAAATTCTGAGTTTATATTTTACAATTCTGAATTAGAATTGTCTGAATTGTGAGATTCTCAATTCATAAACTCACAATTTCCCCCCTTATTCCATGATGGAAACAAAAAACTTGTAAACTTGAAAAAAGTCAAAATTGCCAGTTTAAAACTTGTAGTTCTAAGGGAAAAAAGTTAGAATTGTAAACTCGCAATTACCAGTTCATAACTAGCAATTGCAAGATATAAACTCACAGTTCTGTGAAAAAAAGTCTGAATTGTGAACTTGCTGTTGCAAAGAAAAAGCCAATAAATAAACGGGTGAGTCAAAAATGACAAGTTACTGTCAATGCACGCTACTTACTGGGTTTTCCTGAACTAGTTCTTGGTTGTTTGCCACTGCTGTTAACCAAATGATAGTGATGATGGAGTTTAATACAAAGGAAAAGAAAAGGTTTTTGTGCAGGGTAATTCTCTGGCAGCTCAAACTCCTATAGGCACAAAAAAGACAGCAAAATGAAGAGATAATTGTTATAAACCATTAAAACTTGAATACAGCAGTGAAAGAGACATTTGCACTTACTTGAAATGAAAGAATATGCCTAGCGAGATGAACAAAGATGTTAAAGAGAGCCCATGACCAATTAGCGCCAAGTAGAACAAATTCATTGCGGTCTGCAATCACACAAACAATAGAGTCATGAAGTGTTTATTCTGCAAGCCAATTCAAATGTGTGTTTATATTCATCTCCAGTGTTTATAGTGTTCGTAGTCATACCCTGCGTCCTTCAGTAGTGTGCAAATTACATCTGGTGAAATTTGTCCACGTGCGATTACTCTCAGGATGCAAGAACCACTGCCCGCTTTCTGTACATATTTTGGTGACCATTTCTGCAAAGAAACAGAAGTAAACCCAAACGTGTTACTAAGAGAAGCATCGATATGGTGAAAAGCTTAATTCGTTTGTCAACTCTTAGCAACATTTTGAGATATGGTATATGTCATAATACTCCTGTCTTGTATTTATGTTGTGCTTTATTAATTAATTTTAATTTTTTTTACATATCTTTTACATTAATTTTATATGTATATATATATTTATTTTTTCCCTCCTCTTGCTTTCTTCTCCATGTATTTTTTTTCTGTTGTTTGGTTCTGTATATGTTGTAAGTGGTTAAATTGTTAAAAAACAAGCACTGTTTTTTTTTCTGTAGAGAAACATAATAGCTAACCTAATATAGATATTTTTCCAAGCAATTTTTAAGATTACTTTTAAAAAGTAGCTAACTTTAATGCAAAATTTATTGAACAAAGAAAATAAAATAAAAAATAATAATAAATAAAATATATTTATATATATTTTTATCTTTTTTGACCTATTGCTGTAAAAGCCAGGCTTTGTTAAAAAAAAAATAATAATAATAATTTTTTAAATAAAGTAGACCAAAACAATGGCTAGTGATATTTTACTGCTATGTTTCTAAGCCCTTTTTAAGATTAAAGTTAGAAAGTATTACAGTAATTAATAACTTTACTGCAAAATTTATTAAACTTGGAAAATGTCTTTAATATTGAAAACATGCTCATCCATTCACCTTACCTTACTTCAGGGCAGAAAATAAGTCATATAAAAGTTTTAACAGCCATTTAGCCTATGAATTTAGCATGATTTGATAGTGAGGGATAATGGAGCAAAAGAACTGACAATGATGTATGTGTATTAGGCAGATGAGTAGAAAGCACTTACACTAAACCTTATAACTTGAATATTCACCTGTAGGGTCAAAATCCTGGAAATAATCAGGGCAGTGTTGCTCAGAAGTGACGCTGGTCTCTGTGTCGTCCCAACACAACCATCCATCCCAGGTCCTGTTGCACACCGGGCCAACTAGATATGAAAAAAAAGCCCAAAACATTTATTGGTTTCTGTGGAGACTGGGAAACTGCAACTTCCTGTTTTCATTATCACTATTCTTAGTTCTACCAGCCTGTTCCAAAACCCAGTACCCCGTGAGCTAGGTGTGCTGCATCCTATGGAAAGCGCTCCAAATCAGTCATTGTTGTGTCTTGTTTAGGATGCTAAGTAGGAAGTCTACTAGGTTTTGGAACAGAGCTAATATTTCACAGCTGTCCTGCCACCCAGTGGGGCCAAATGCACTCTTCCTAACAGAATGAATATGAGCCACCTGAGGCTTTATGTGTTCTTGCTGTACTAATTAGACAGGATGACAAAAACTACTGTCAACGCTGGCAATACATACTCTATGAGAGGCTTATTGAAAATCAGATCGAATTGTTATTGTTATATATTATTATTTTAGCATGACACATGTGCGTACTTGCTGTAAAATATGAGTACAAAAGTGTTATGGCTATTTGGCTAGAATGAACTGGCTTGAAGCTGCTTTGTGTCATTTTTTTATGTCACCAGTAGCATCAAATCTATAATTGCAGAATGAATATCTGTAAAGTAACATGAAAATGACACATTTTCAGGATCCAGAATAATACAGCTTGATCTCTGTCTTGTAAAAACTATATGTAAAGTATCTACCACTTCTGTCTTGACTGCTGTCCTTCATGATCTTCTGATAGCACTCGAACTGTGCCGTCACAATCTTGTTTCTGGTAACACCGATGTCATGGTACACATTTTGAGGATGTTGTTGCTGGCTTTTGTTTACCTCAGGACTGGCTAGAACAATGGGACATTAAAAAACATGGCAAAAGTTTCCATATAGTCACTTTGGATGTAAATGTAAATAAAACACATGTAGTTGCACAAACCCCATATATTCACTTTAAAGTTGCTAAATGCTTCCTGATTTATTCTGTACTAATCTCTTATTGTAATTTACTTAAGCAGCTGCTTTACTTACACATAATATACCATTATGAGACATTATACCATCAAAGACATTACTCTATATTGTAATAGAGGATCATGTTTCTTTTTGTAGCCCAAAACTCTGAAATAAGTTAGCAATTTAGCACTTCTGGTTCCATCATCTTGACGTCAAAGTTGAATTGGTTAAATGTCTGAAATCAGGTCTGTGGTTAACACAAATGTAAGATATTTTCATGATTTTTCTATGACATAAACTACATCATTAATACTCCCTTGTGATTTTTAAAGCTTTTACTTATGTTAAAAAAACGTTTGCTAACAAGGGGCTAAATGGAACTATAGAGGTTGTCGGGAACATTAAACATCAGCCAAAGCAATTATTATCTATTATATTTATTTCAATTTAATTTGGGTAATTAAATGTTTAATATGAGTTTAATTTTAATTTCACTTTTAATTTTAGTTAACTATAATCCAAACAGGTAATCTCATTCACTCACTAGTTCGCTTTTACAGCCTCATTGTGCAACTCAAAACTTCAGGGAAAAAGACTGAAAGAGTTGTCGGAAGCTAAGTGATGGTGACATTCATTTGTGAAGATTATCATGATGAACAAAACGCATAAGAATCATAAACTTTTATTGGTCACTGCAATAATCTGAAAGCCAATGAAAAAATCCTGTTGGGTTTTTGTTGATGGAACCAAGCGGTTGGCCTACAGAAATATTATCACTGCACCACTAAACAAAAATGTTTATAAAAAAGATGTGGCAAATAATCTTTCACCTCAGTGACAGATCCCAGCAGAAACAGACAGATCGTCCAGCCTCTAGCTGTCATCTTCTTTGGCATTTGCAATGACCCACTATCGATCTGCAAGGAAGGCAATGTCAATAATAATAATAATAATAATTCCTTGCATTTATATAGCGCTTTTCTGGGCACTCAAAGCGCTTTACATAGAAGGGGGGAATCTCCTCAACCACCACCAATAAAACACTGTGCACAGTTCTAAGGGCTCTTATGCTGTTATTGACACAAACAGAAGTACTTGTCGTCTTCTCTAGCTTATTGCAAACACACACCCACACAGAAACATACAGACACACATGCACAGAATACAAATTTGTATATTTGAACTCTACTGTCTCTGATGGTTGCTTCAGTTCTTATAACACTTATCAAGCTGGAATCAGTTCACTTAAATAGACTGTTTGAACCTATTCACATCAAATGCCCTGTGTCTAATGGGTAAATTAGTCCAATGACAAATCCTTAACATCCAATAATCAAAATTTTGCTCAATTATATCACTAGCAAAACCATTGTAAATACAGCTTGAATATTTACTACTCAGCCCGACGTAGAATGGTTATTTTGTGATTCTAGCCAGGTCGAGCAAACACTTTAACCTAGATTGTGCAGTTTCTTCAAATCCCAGCTCGCAAAGAATGGTTTAGTCAATGAGGGACCCTCATACGCAATAGAAAATATTGCGTAAAAAAAAAAGAGTAGCTGATGTGAAGAAACGTTCCCTGATATTACTAAATAATGTCCCTTGACTGCTCACATGGAAGTTATGGCATGTCTTCAGGTCTGTTTGAACTTACGCTGCTCATATTGGGTCACACTATTGCAGGAGTATCGGGGGAAAGCAAAGGGGGGTATTGCAAATTAGAAACAGACGGTAAGAGCGAGTTGTAATGTTACCCACAATGCAGCATATCATGAAACAGCACTGGCGGATCTCAAGGACCACTGCTTGTAGCTGCGTCATTGGCTGCAGCTGAAATAATGGTGTTTACTTTTCCATTTGAGGGAATAAACATGCAGGTTAGAGCCTTTGTGAGCCACTCTGCAGGCTGGTCGTGCTGATATCTGTCCTCTACTGATATCCGCACTCTTTTATCTTCCGTTGATTGCACTACTTGAACAAACAGCAGTATTTTCCCTTGCCGGTGAAACCTCTGAGTGCAAGCACATGGGAGGAAACTGGATGCGTGTTATGGTCATTTTAACTGCTTGAATTTGACACAGATAAATCATCTCAGTACTCTGGGGATGAGGAGAGATGGAGCAAGTTCAGTTTGTACTTTTTTTTTTTAAATAGCCTTTGTTTTGCATCATAGCTGTTTTTAAGAGGTTGTGTTAAGTTTTTGAATGCAATAACATATACTGTATGTACTGTACAATCTACTTGTGGTCGACCTATATTGATTTTTTAAATTGCTGATGTTGAGAGCAGGGTGGCTGATATGAAGCCGATATAAATGATTTCACACCATTTATTTAATAATTTTAAATTATTACACACTATTTAGTTTAATATAATATTTACTAAATTAGAAATAATGAATATGAAACATGAATTAAAAAATGGTAACACTTTATTTTAAGGTGCTTCCTCTTTTGTCTTGACTGTTGTCCTTCATAATCTTCTGATAGCACTCGAACTGTGCCGTCACAATCTTGTTTCTGGTAACACCGATGTCATGGTACACATTTTGAGGATGTTGTTGCTGGCTTTTGTTTACCTCAGGACTGGCTAGAACAATGAACTACAAACAACAGGCACATTAGGAAAGTAATGTCTGAGAACAGGCTGATTTCACAAACAATCATCTTAACCAAGTTTCTTTCTTTAGATGTATGAGACAGGTAATAAAAAAGATGTGGCAAATAATCTTTCACCTCAGTGACAGATCCCAGCAGAAACAGACAGATCGTCCAGCCTCTAGCTGTCATCTTCTTTGGCATTTGCAATGACCCACTATCGATCTGCAAGGAAGGCAATGTCAATAATAATAATAATAATAATTCCTTGCATTTATATAGCGCTTTTCTGGGCACTCAAAGCGCTTTACATAGAAGGGGGGAATCTCCTCAACCACCACCAATAAAACACTGTGCACAGTTCTAAGGGCTCTTATGCTGTTATTGACACAAACAGAAGTACTTGTCGTCTTCTCTAGCTTATTGCAAACACACACCCACACAGAAACATACAGACACACATGCACAGAATACAAATTTGTATATTTGAACTCTACTGTCTCTGATGGTTGCTTCAGTTCTTATAACACTTATCAAGCTGGAATCAGTTCACTTAAATAGACTGTTTGAACCTATTCACATCAAATGCCCTGTGTCTAATGGGTAAATTAGTCCAATGACAAATCCTTAACATCCAATAATCAAAATTTTGCTCAATTATATCACTAGCAAAACCATTGTAAATACAGCTTGAATATTTACTACTCAGCCCGACGTAGAATGGTTATTTTGTGATTCTAGCCAGGTCGAGCAAACACTTTAACCTAGATTGTGCAGTTTCTTCAAATCCCAGCTCGCAAAGAATGGTTTAGTCAATGAGGGACCCTCATACGCAATAGAAAATATTGCGTAAAAAAAAAAGAGTAGCTGATGTGAAGAAACGTTCCCTGATATTACTAAATAATGTCCCTTGACTGCTCACATGGAAGTTATGGCATGTCTTCAGGTCTGTTTGAACTTACGCTGCTCATATTGGGTCACACTATTGCAGGAGTATCGGGGGAAAGCAAAGGGGGGTATTGCAAATTAGAAACAGACGGTAAGAGCGAGTTGTAATGTTACCCACAATGCAGCATATCATGAAACAGCACTGGCGGATCTCAAGGACCACTGCTTGTAGCTGCGTCATTGGCTGCAGCTGAAATAATGGTGTTTACTTTTCCATTTGAGGGAATAAACATGCAGGTTAGAGCCTTTGTGAGCCACTCTGCAGGCTGGTCGTGCTGATATCTGTCCTCTACTGATATCCGCACTCTTTTATCTTCCGTTGATTGCACTACTTGAACAAACAGCAGTATTTTCCCTTGCCGGTGAAACCTCTGAGTGCAAGCACATGGGAGGAAACTGGATGCGTGTTATGGTCATTTTAACTGCTTGAATTTGACACAGATAAATCATCTCAGTACTCTGGGGATGAGGAGAGATGGAGCAAGTTCAGTTTGTACTTTTTTTTTTTAAATAGCCTTTGTTTTGCATCATAGCTGTTTTTAAGAGGTTGTGTTAAGTTTTTGAATGCAATAACATATACTGTATGTACTGTACAATCTACTTGTGGTCGACCTATATTGATTTTTTAAATTGCTGATGTTGAGAGCAGGGTGGCTGATATGAAGCCGATATAAATGATTTCACACCATTTATTTAATAATTTTAAATTATTACACACTATTTAGTTTAATATAATATTTACTAAATTAGAAATAATGAATATGAAACATGAATTAAAAAATGGTAACACTTTATTTTAAGGTGTCCTTGTTACACATTACTTACTATTATAATAACAAATTATGCATAATTACATGCAAGTAACTCTAAGACAAACCCTAACCATATAGTAAGTACATGTAGTTAATTCATATTACCATACTTGCTCCCATTTTCCATATGCCCTTGTTTTAATAAACATCTTTTAGTACACAACTTGGACATGATTTAACTAAAAAAAGGGAAGAAATTATTCATACGTGAGAACAAATTAAGTCATCAGAGTGAATTCTTTATTTTTATCCCCAATATTTTCCCCGTATGAGAGGCTCTGTACATAGTACTGATGAACATGTTAAGATTCTTTAAAATTTGCCCTGATCTAATACATTTGTATTGTGGTCACTGCAGAAGTTAAATCATTCATGTGCCACATCAAGTGGAGAACAATTCAGAATGAGCAGGAAATAATCGAGGGTAAGTGCACGCATACTCCTTTGAGTAATGACCAGTCGTCTCCATCCTTACTTATCCAACAAACGGAAATCCAATAACGCTTCCTTTAATAACACTTGTTAGGGCCATTATTCATAAGCAAAAATGACACACTTTCCTGCAAACCCGCAATCTGATAAATGGCTGAGCATTCCAGACTATTTCGCTTGTGTGTTACCTTATTACAGTTGCAATCGATATACAAAAAGGTCACTTTGCTGGTCAGGCAATCTCCCTTTATACCTCATTGGGTAATATTTAAGATTTTGACGTGTGGTACTTAATGCAGACCATGTATCATACATTTATTGATCACGTGTGAAGTCTTATATTTATACAAAAAATAATAAAAACTAAAGTGGCACAGGACTGTGTACTTGTGTATAGATTTGTAAGAATTCTTTCTGCTTTATCGGCGCTATTGTTTTGAATGAAGTTGAAGCTTGTAAACATCCTACAGTGACCAAAGGATGTTTGCTTTCTGTCCAGTTCCTCCTGAGCATTCATAATTACCTTTTCCTATTTTCAGAATAACCCCAGCTCGCTCAGAACTCCCACAATGTGATCTGCAGCGATTAGACTTATCGCTCAGCTACTCGACTCAGCAGTGGCACATATGGATGTAAACATGCCCTGCATACAATTTGTATCAATCTTGTTTCCATTAGAGATGCAAATGTAAACACTGCAACTGTGCACTCAAGATAAACACTCCTTAAAATATATTGAATTGAATTCCAAGAAAATTTTGTCAATATTTATTTACTCCTAATTTTAATCCCCAAAAAATTGCTGCTGTTTTTGACATGGAAAACCAAAGGGGTGTTTTTTAAGAATTTCACACAGCTCCATACACTGCTGCCAAGCTCTGAAAAGGACACCATAAAAGTAGCCTATATGAGTCATGCCCTCTATATTTCAAGTCTTTTGAAGTCATATGATAGCTAGCTGCGTGTAAAAAGTGGACAAAGTTTCATATTTTGTTTAAAAAAAAAACAGCATGTTTTTTGTTTTTTTTTAAAGTGAATAACTCCTGTCTAGCACCAGATATTTTTATACCTAACTTGAAAGGTTTTAAAAGAGGTTTGACAAGATGTGTTATTTTAGTATTATTGATTAGTATTAGTATTAGTATTTAATAATATTTTGAATTAGCCTTTATTTTTATATTTTATCTTAAGTTTTAGTAATTTTGTTGTTTGCTTTGTTATTTGTCTGTTTTAAGTTCATATTTCCCCTTCAGTTTTAGTTCTATTAATTTTAGCAATTAAACTTTTGAATTAGCTTTTATATTATATAATATTTTATATTAGCTTTTTAATAATTTTGTTGAATACTTTATTGTACGTATGTATGTGTATGTATATTATTTACGCTTAATTTTTCCTTCAGTTTTAGTTCTAGCAATTTTAGTATTTAAACGTATTTTATTTCAGTTAGTTGCGAAGGCAATATTTTTACCATTTGAGTTTTTTTTCTGTTATTTATATTTTATTTTATTTCAGATTAATTTTAATAGCAAAAATTATTTTGAATAGTTTCAGGTAACTGAAAATTTTACACAAAAATTACAATTGACTTATCTTCGAGCCATTCAGGATGAGTTTCTGCATCAGAACTGATTTGGAGAAATTTTGGAGAGATTAAGCACTAAATCTATCAACATCTTAACAATTTGTTTATTACATACACAGCTTTCTGCTTCACAATACATTAATTAATTGCCTGGAGTCATGTGGATTACTTGAGGAATATTGTGATGTTTTTAATCAGCTGTTTGGTCTCTCATTCTGACGGCACCCATTCACTGCAGAGGATCCATTGGTGAGCAAGTGATGTAATGCTGAATATCTCCAAATCTGTTCTGACGAAGAAACAAACTCATCTATTTTTTCTTTAACACTGCTCCTAAATGCAACCCATTCTTTCTTGTAACTAGCAACCCTTATGTATTTCTGCAAAAAAAAAAAAAAAAAAATCAAATCTGGAACAAGACCACATACATGTTGTAGAAAAAACAAA